CGATATAATTAGCAACAATGTTTGCTTACCTCGTGTCGGGTTTAAAACTTGCCGAGTTTCTTCTGGGGATCCTGTTCGTTCTTCTTCTTCTTCTTTTTCTTTTTTTTTTTTAACACGATGGTTAAGGTAAGGATTCTTTCCTCGGGAAGGGAGAAACATCGCGTTCGCGCCAAGATTTTAAACAATCTTGTCTATGAAGATGCTTCGGGGGGATAATTTGATTGATGATGAGAGAGTATTAGATTTCGGCGAAGAATTCTGACTCGGGAGTTAAAGGGAGTTTTATCGAGTTTTGCGAATGGTAATAAGACACTTCTCGTTTCATATGAATAAGTAGAATGTTAGATTAGACTTATAAATTGATATCTTGAATTATATATATTCGAGACGCGAAGTTCTAATTCGCCGAATTTCGTCCAATTTCAAAAACAACCAATCGCTTGCAGCTATCGTTACGTTAAGTTTTATAAACTCGATTCTTTATTCTATTTTATTGAAACGACAGGAATTATCTTGACCGATCGATGGATCATCCCTTAAATTTCAAGACTTTGCTTCTTTGAATATATAATATGAATTGTTCGATCGAGACGTGCAACGATTTCAGGCGCGTTTACATTGTAGCTCGCTGTGTGAACTGTGTGCGCTCTGTTTCTAACATCGTCGTAGAAATTTTCGAATAAATTTGATTATTTCTTTTATAAATTTCAACGAGCTCAACGACCGGTTGCCTCGCTTGCCAAGAAGCATTAACCCGAATAGCTGTTCTTGTTGACGACTCGCAAGGAAATCGCAAGTGACGACGATCTCAGATCTCGATCTTCGATCTCGAGAAAAGAAAACCGATATTTTTCTATTTCCCTCTTCTTAGAATAATTTTAATTTTTAAAAAAAAAAACGTACACGTAGTTGCGAGGATAAGCGATAAAAAGCGGCAGAGAGAGAGAGAGAGAGAGAGAGAGAGAGAGAGAGAGAGTTCGATGACCGAGTTAAGTAGATAATGAGTAACGTTGTCGTGGAATTGAAGGGAATTATTCCGCGAGCTCAATTGCGTAACGCGGTGAGGACTATTACGCGTGATGTTGCGCAGGTCTAGGTAAACTCGAGCAGACACATATCGATCGTTTTGAAAGATTATGATCGACGAAGAGAATTATCGGTTTTTCAATATTTGAAAAGAAAACGAATAAAAATCGAACGATTGCAAAACCTTTTTTGTGTAATCGCGAATTCTGAACTTTGAATGTGAATCTGAACGACGAATAGAGATTGGAATAGGATTGATTTGATTATGCTTGTTGAGGAATTTATTCTTAGTTATGTATAAACAAGTTGATGCTCAATTTTAGATATGAGAATTTATAGCTGAACCATTTATCACGATAATTTAAGATGATCGTATTTTTCATTTCTTTTTTTTCCTTTTTTTTTTTTTTCTGATAAAATACACTACGATGTAAAGATAAAATTTTCTTGTAAAGGGAAAAAAAAAAAAAAATTTAATTTCATTGGATATATTCGATTTAACGTATTAAGTCATTTTAAACATTTTAAAATATTTATTTTGATTTTGAATATTATAGTTTTAAAATGAATTTTTATTAATCTTGATAACATGATTTATTACTCGAGCTCGCGCAAGGTGTACCAAGACATTTTTGACTGACTGTATATCTTATTTGACCTTGTTTACGAGATATGTAACGAGTTTTATGTTCTGTCATTTTGTATTTGATTATCTTGCATTTCAATATTTGCGTTGTATTGTTATTCAATACTTTTTCAGATACTTTCAGATATTACTCGAATTCGCAGAAATTCTCATTGTTCAATTTCGAATTGAATATTAATTTCTATTATTCCGAATTAATAGGAAACAACTAATAATTCTTTATTATTTGTATTTAATCTAGTGACGATATCTATTTTTTCAAAGTTTTATTTCATCATTAGAACAAGATTCGAGTCGAGGTAATTTTTATTTATTTTTAAAATAAGGAAAAATTAATATAAACTAATATTATTTAACATTGATCCACATTCTCATCTTGTTTATTTCGCATAAATAATATTAGAATAACCCGACAAATATTGTAAATACATCATAAATTCAAATCTAATTATATTCCACTACCGACATTTTCGTATTGCCAGAATATTATTTTGAAAAAACAAGAAAATAAATAAAGATACGATACCTTCTTCAAGTTCTCTCGATCGAAATCTTATTTCGAAGATAAAATAAAAATTTAAAAAAAAAAAAAAAAAGGAAATTAGCCTAATAGATGACAAAAGTATTCGTTAAAACTAGCTAAATTATCACGCTTATAGTTTCTTTCGTCCCCACAAACGAAGAATTCCTTATTCAAACTGATATACAGATAAGAATATTCTATATTTGTATGAAATAGAAGGAGACGAGAGAAATTTGTCACGTTCACCCCACGGAAATCCAATACTAAATTGCTCGAGGCCCTCGAAATATAATTGGAAACATTCACAGAATTCGTTTCAAGGGGAGGACGTGACGCCCATCTCGTTGTTTCCTGAAACTAATTCGATTTCCGTAAAACGATGTTTTCCGCGTAATCGGTCTGGAAATGACGACATACAATGAGAGAAACAAGCGATAATGTACATACTTATACATACATATGTATATATTTATATCAATTCAAAACGTTATTTCGTTCGAATAACACGTTCCATCAAATTCGATCTTACTTCGATCAAAAAAAAGAAAAAAAAAAAAAAAAAATTCGATCAAGATGATCATGATCAATATTGCAGGCTTTGATAGCGGACTCTGATCATTTATTTTTTTCTTTTTTTTTTTTTTACATCATCCGTCGATAAATTTAACGTGATGGCGGTCACGTAGTCGCTCAATTTACTCGATTGAAACATTTTTCCCTCTGCTTTTGTCGGACCGTTCCTTACTCTCTACCCAAATAATTGCATTTCGAACGAGAAACACGATGTTCGAACGCGAACCGGTGACGCAAGAGATACACCATAAAGGATAGCAACCGAAGATTGAATCGAACAATAAATCGAATTTCTTTTCTCTCTCTCTCTTTCTCGTGTGTCGCTAATCAATCGAAGGAGTGCTCGTAATTTCACAATCGATTATCTTAATCATTCGTTTCCGCGTGGCACCACCTACGTTACCCGATCCCCAGACTATTTTCATGGATAATGGGCCAATTGTAAATTATCGTGAAAATCGTAGCTTGTGCAATTCGAATAAGCGGTAAATAATAGTAAATAAATAATCAGTAAATTGGTAAAAATTGATTGATTATATTGTGATTAACCTGTTGGCCTCAAATGACAATTATCATTCGTCATGATGATTTAGTATTAGAATATGCAATGACGAGTTATAATTGTCATAGGTAAAAACAAGAAATATAGATAGAAACAGTAAAAAACTTGATCGATGATTATATTCCATAAAAAAAATGAAATATATATAAAAAATTGTTTGGATCAAAGAGAATCATATGTTGATTAAACATCCTAGCTCTAATCTTGTAATAAATCGTTATACTATGTATAGCTTGGATAAATTTAACCTCACAATTATTCCATTTAATTCTAATTACTTATAATGTACTTAAACGTATCTACTATAAATATCATTAATATTAATGTATAGCTAATAAATACAACACACATGATATCAATGAGATTAATAAATTAATAAAAGAACACCTGTACTTTATCAAAGCTGATGCAAAGACAAAATAGATACAATGGTAAAAAAGTAAATAGAGAAAGTGCTTAACTTATATTTATATGCAAGTATTCTTTTATTTTAGATAGATATAAATTTATTACATGATGCATTTTAATTTTGTATCATGTAAAGAAATAAAAATGAAATTTTGTATGATATATTAATTAATAGAATTAAATGAATTAAAAATAAGCTCTTCTCTATTTATATATTCACCATTATAACTATAGATAATCAGTTTTTTTCTTTTAATTAATAAATGAATTGTGCAAACAATTCAATGAGCCTTCTATCTTATCCTATACCTCTATCCTATACTTCTATCCTATACATCTTAAATAAGATAAAATATGATTTTTTAACTAATTACTTGATGGAAAACAAAATGAAAACTGTCCATCTAGGAGTGAATAGAAATATTACTATCAAATTAGTAACTAAACTAACTAATTGATCAATTAATTATAAATTTGAAATGAAAATAAGTTATATTTCTAAAAAAATTGAATTAAATAATTGATTATATATCTTAATTCTAATTCTATCTTAACCTAAAAAACTCTTAAATAAATATTAAAATATTTCAAAGAAAAGAATTTTGATATTTTAATTTTTTAAATAAATTCTTAAATAACCGGAAAGAAAAATATAAACGTTATGCTATTATGCCAAAGTAAAAACTCTGTTAATGTAATAATTCTCCATTTTTTATGAGATGCAGTATTTTCGTTTCAAATGTCCGTGAAATAATCCATGAAACAAATTCAGGAACATGCGCGCGCAGGTTGAGAGACGCGGGAATTGCTTTCGAAAATGTTTACCAGCACTAACAACAGGCTCGTAAGCCACGTGCTTCTGCCTCGAAACGTTCTTAATGGTTTCGTGTGTATCTTTTTCATGGGGATTATATAAGTCTCTTTGCGAGAATATAATCTATCCATGAACACCTCATTCGCGATTCCAAGCACGTAGCTCTTTAATTCTGCCTCGAATGTCTAAGTCACCGTGAAATCTTATATCTAATAGTTGACACTGACTTCTCTTAAACACGATATTATTCGTTATACGTGTCGAAAAACTCTTTCGAGACAAGATTAATCGGAGATTCGATAGTATCGCGACAAAATTTCTCGAATATGCTCGAGCAATTACAGAGAAATTGATCATATATATATATTATATGAAAAATATTCACTTACCAAAACGATAACGTGATTAATGTGTGATAGATGAACAGGAATTCGTTGATAGCACTCACCTTTTCATCAAGATTGTTCAAATCTGGCAACTGAAACAAAACGATAGATACGAGTTAGTTCTATAAATCGTCACTATTTTGTAATGGCTATCTCGGACAAGGGTTAACGTTTCATTATTCGATTTGAAATTATATAACCATAATCAAGAGTCATAAGATAAATGAATGTGCGAAAAGTTACCTCGGTAAGTAATATGAATATTGTGAATTCACATAATTAATAACACTAACAAATTATAAACTAATTTCAATCACATCACGTGCACAATAACGAACAACAACACGCATGACCGTGAACTGGAGAAAGGATTCAAATCGCGAGAGGACGTATCGTCGCGCCATCTGGCGACATATTTGGTACTAACGTTTAGGTGAAAAATGGAGGAAGGGAAACTAGTCAACTACGTCAATGCCTACTTTATCCACACATGAGTTTGACCAGTCGGCAGATGCCGCCCACGGTATATCATTTTTTTTTTCTTTACTTGCTTGCAAATTGAAGGAAATTGAAGCCAATTTATAGCAATCAGCTGTCGTGTTTGAATATATTCTCCCGGAGACTGCAGATAGCGTGCTAGTATTAATTTAACGCTTGATGCGTCAACTCGTCTAATTAACCTTCATTATTCTCGATACGTGTTCCGAGGCGGGCGAAATAACGTGAAAGCGAGGAGAAGAAATTTCTTCTCGCGCGAAATTTAAATAAACTATATTACAAGATAGATAAAAAAAAGATACTATGCAAATTTTAATAAAATTGAAACGAATAAAATGTCCTCTCTTTGAAATTCATGAATTTCCTTCATCACGTAGAAACGGTAACAACTTTATGACTTATTTTCCAATTTTAAAATAAATTATCGCGATATCCCTGGAAGTCAAACGTGACCACGTAGACTCGAATATATTATAAGATTGTTTCCCGAGATGAGATTCTATTTAAACGTGAAGAAACACAAGTTAAACATGGCTATTACATTCTTTCAAGTGTTATATTCTTTTATATTCTTTCAGATTTTTGATTCACCTTGATCCAGATTATCTATAGCAGTACCGTGATTCACTTCGATATAGAAATGCTATATAATATATTTAATAACCTTGTCTGATGTTGAAACATGATAATTCCCTTCGAGAACTAACGAGAGACATTACGTAAATGAAACTGGAACGTCTTTGGATTATACATCGGGTTTGTCTCTGCGGTCTCTCTTTGAATATATGAGAATTTTTAGCTCTATTAACTGTATCTCAATCTCCTTCTTGTCCCGAGAAATAAAAATTTATAAAAAAAAAAATTGAGCGTATTAAAATGATATATTAACCAATTCTATCGTAATTTTTAATAAATTTTTAAATGATTGAGTAAAAAATAACTCGAGGGAAATAATAATACGAATCTGAACGTGAAAAATTTAAAAGGAAACATAGTATAATAAAATGAAGGTTACATTAAATTTTAAATAAGAAACATCGGAGCATCGTTTCCGAGAATAATTCAATAATTGTTTCAAAAGTTATACCAAAGCAAATACATTTTCAAAACGATGTTATAACAAAATCACGTCGAAACAAAAAAAAAAAATATCGAATGTACAATTCGCCTTGAAACCGTCGGTTTAGTCGTTCAAGTTTTAAGAAATAAGAATGCATATCAGTGAAATCTGTTCAAACATTTACACTAAAATCAATGCGTTATTTACTCGCCTTTGTCTGCTACTACTTTCAATATGTACCGAGAAAATAGCATGTTGCTTACAATAGTTTATCGAGCTATACTCGGCATTGATACTCATCAAGCGATAGAGTCGAGTTTCATGAAATCAAGGTCGATAATGACCTTGGAATGTCCTTGATATCTTTCTTTTTTTCTTTTTAACATTCGTTTATTCGTTTATTCTGCAACCAATATTGAAATATATATATATATGTTGAATTATTCACATTTTTCGCGATATAAAATTCAATTTCCTCTCGAGAATCTAATTAAAAAGCATCGATACACTCTGTCAACCAAAAATTTGCTATCAGATTCATCAAATTATCCGTTAATTTCGTTCGTTGGATTAAAATTTACTGTTACAGAGTCAATAGCCGTATATTTGCAAATTAAATTTTCCCGTGTTTCGTCGAAATTTGAAACGAGATCCGGTAAAATTTATAGTGGCTTCTCTTCTCTTTCCATTCTTCGAAGTATTTTCAAGAGGTATTCATTTTAGATTCGTGGAGATATCGAGAAAAAAAAAAAGAGATATCGTGAAAAAAAGGGAGGAAGCAAATATACGAGATATCGAAAAACAATGACCTCTCGTTCCCGATCCGACAAACGAAGTTCGTTTACCTTGATAACGCGTTTGTTATCACCAGAAATGTTTTTAAAACCATTATTCGAGGTTATTTCACTCGAAAAGAAAATCTCAACGTTGAACGTGCCGCGTAAATTGGCTTTGGTACACTTCAATTTTATTGCGAGCCAATCGAAATCGATCGATATCGGTGTAGGATTAAATAACGATAAGAACGATGTCCAGTCTTGTTTAAAAAATTGCGTAACGTAAACATAAATGGACGATTCAAAATTTACAATTTGCTAAAATAAAATTAGAAATTAAATCGTCACGAGGATGTTTTAATTCGATGCGTTGTTATAATTTCATTAAAAAAATTCATGCAATGAATTTGTAATTATATATGAAATATCAAAGCTTAGAATGTTTCTAGGCCAGTGATTTTCCATCTTTTTTTATTTTACGGCACATAAGAATTAAGTTGGTAAAATTTTTGAACGTATATATTTCTCTTTATCATTCTTGTTTCAAAGAAGAAGATACAAAATGCATCGAATAATATTTAATTATACGAGTGAAAAGAATTTTATTCCACTTTCTTTTTGAAAAATTTTTAAAATCCTATCTATATATCTCCTATCTATATAATAAAAAGAATAATATTTAAAATTATTTGAAACATTAATTATCTATTACTTTCTATAATTTACATGTAGAAATCTGGATTTAAAAAATCACTGCCCTATATTTATATATACAAAGAACGTATAACGTATAAAATATAAATTAAAAAACATTGAAAGGTTCCATTAGAAATACCGACACAAACAGACACGTATAATGACGATAGAACGGTCAAAGGTAAAAATATATACGAATCATCGTCGTACAACATGTTCGGTATTTTATTAGAAATATAAACAAATAATATTTTACATTGATCGATTGGAATCGTTTAATAGAGCCTTAATTACCTATCCTCGTATATATATCCTCTTTCCAAATATATCTCATTTACACACGTAAGATCAATCATCGGTATATGTTTAGAAATCTTTTCTCTATTTCTCTCACGCATTCTGTTCCATCCTCTCTTTTCCTCTTCCTATTTTAGGCTAGCAAAATTCCGCACGCGTACCAACCAGATGATTTATCGAAGACACTATGCAGGATACCAGAATTCGAAACTCGCCACGTAAATTTGTCGCGAATAACAGGCATTCCGCGATTCTCGATTAATCGAGAACACCCATCCAAACTGAATCTTCAAACTTTCAAATTTCAGCTTCGTCGAAGTTATATCTTCTATCTTTGTTTATTAAAATACAAATAATTAATATTGTCATCTTTGATAAAGATTCACGAGCATAGTGAACAATATGAGAAGTCGAGCGTTTATTCGAACGTCACCGTTAATTTTCCTCCTCCGCATTTTCTTCGTTCAACGAGTAACGGAGTGTAACACTATCGGCATCCCTCGAAAGTTCGCTCGATTTCTCAATTCGCCACCGATCCCACGCGGTGAAACTTTTCCATTTGCTGACTTCTTTGCCCAAGAAAACTTCCCAACTTTCCACCGACGGCTTTCGTGCCGTGAAAAAATATGTAACTGGTCGAGAGAATTGAACGGAGACACAGGAATCGTGCCGGAAACCGGTCAAATGTAAAACTGTGTATGTAGATGAGAATGGTTTCGAAGGGGGTCAAAATTATTATCGCGGATTATGCGTGGAATGGAACGAAAAAAATGATCATTTTTTTTTTTTTTTTTTT